TAATAATAATAATAATAATAAAATGATAATGAAAGCAAAGTAAATGTTTTCTTTATAATAGTAGCAAATCATTGACTCTGGCTCACACACATTCCACAGCGAGAAAAAGAAAAAGTGTGATCGGATGAGGTGATTCACAAAAATCACAAACTATACACAAATAAATAAAATGAGATTAGCAAGCATACATTGATAAATGTAAAGTGTTTCATGTCAATGCTTCTGACCAATCAACCAATCATATTTTGTACCACAATTATATCCAGAAAACTTTTAATAAAGCTAGGTGGCGGATCTAGATGGGTAAAGAAGCATAACGTCAACTGTTCTGAATTTAATGACAACCAGAATCCATCGGCAAAAAAACATGGGCATGAATATTTAAACCTGAAATTATCATTTTTCATTTATTATAGATGATATTCATTCTACCTTTCAGACGATTCAGATATGCAAAATATGACAAGTGAAGACTTACCACGCAAACAGCAAGTGACAACAATGTAACGGACCATTCCCAGCCCTTTCTTTGGGAATACATTTCTCTTCTCTTCTGTATGAGGAGTGTTAGTTCCAGTGGAGAGATGAAGGCAGGAGGAACGTCAGGAGCTCTCGGGTAGCTCTACCTCTGCCTGTGCTGATACTGTAAGACAGGAGGAAATGAAAGGCTTTCTCACTCTCATTGGCTGAACGTAGGTGATACTGATGATGATCAGAGTCTTATCTGGCCTGATATTTCCTCCACCAACTAGAACGGACAAAAGCGAATCCAGTGCAGTGATCATTAACTAGATGGGCAGACTAAACCAAAGGTGTGTTATACAAATGCTATGGAATTTCGAAAGAACAAAACACATCACACCCACCAATATAACCACTTGATGACTCTCATTAATAAAATGGGCATAAAACTGGTCTGAGCAACTGCAAAACAACTACAATTCTATTTCCCCTTTTCAGTGAATCGTATTTGTACACAATGTGTGACGTGCAGTTGTGACCCTCCAGTGCTTGCTCTTTTTTTTGTATTTAAAAAATAAAATAAAAGACGCAAAATAAATAAATAAATAAAATTACAGTGTTTTTTTTTTCTTGCAGTGAAATCACATAAAAAAGAGACTCTAGAGACTCTAATGAAAGTCATCATCAGTGCTGAAAAACATGTAATGTAATATTTATAACAAGACTAAAGAAGCTTGAAGGTTTTGTTTGGCCATGAAATCACAATTGACCTTATCATATTGTACACTATAAACCATTCAAAAGTCTTTAAAATATAATGTTTTTGAAAGAAGTCTCTTATGCTCACCAAAAAAAAATAAAAAAAATAATAATAATCCTGTGGTGACGAAGCTGCATTTTCAGCATCATTACTGATTTGATGCTCTTTTGTGGAAATATATACATTTTTTTTTTTCAGGAGTCTTTCTTTGATTAATATAAAGTTCAAAAGATCAGCATTTCTTTTTTCTGTAACATTATAAATGTATTTACTGTCACATTTGATCGATTTAAAGCATTCTTGCTGAACAAAAATGCATTAATTAAAAACAAATATTGGACAATAATTATAATTGAATTAATAATATGCCATGTCTTTTGAAATTGAGCATTTATGGCATACTTCTAAGCAGAAGTATTAATATAAATAGTTATAACAATAGTTATTAGTTATTTGGTAAGAAGAAGCTAAATCACTTTTGTTCTAACATTCCTCATTTCAAATGCCTTCAAATTAAAGGGTTTGCTAAAGGAATAAATATGTAAAAGGTATGGGGGACAAGCAAAATAATCCAAATAGATTTAAAAAATCAACAAATGACAAGAAAGAAAGCATAAATGGAAAGAAATGATCAAGCACGACTGAAAGCGTTTGAGGAACAGAGAGAGTCCATGTGTAAAAGTATGCAGTACACCATATGTGCAACATGTGATCTGAACCGCAGGTGTTTGGAAGAAATCTATCAGCAGAATTATTTTGCAATCTATCAGTTTTCGGAAATCTAACTGGTTTCTGCTAGTTATTGAAAGATTTAACATTTCAAAAAAATATAATGTCATGGTAAAAACATTCAAAACTTTTTTACAAATAAAATTGTGCATTCACTCATTAATGAGAAGTTATTGATCAGATACAAAATAGTTGAAAAATATTAAGTTATGTGTATAAGCTTATTTTCTACACGGTCTAAACAGACCAAGAAATGCAACAGAATCATAGGGTTTTTTCATGTATTACAATGGGTAATTGATTCCAAATATGTTTGCAAGCTTAATGTTTGCATGTTCATTATCAGTTGACGAAATTGCATGTTTAATCTTATCTTCAATCTGAAGTTACATTATCCGATTGCTTTAAGTAAATGATTTTCCTGAAGGACAACTGTGGAAACCTTTGTCCTATCTGGTACTGGTGCTTCAAATCTGTTATTTTTCAAACACAAAATTAAAAACATATTAATGGTTTATAACCTCACATCCTCACTACTGGAAACTTTTTCATTGGCCATCAAAAAAACTAAAAATTCCTAACAACTTTTGCTAACAAAACAACATCAGTACTACTCTGAATTGTTTTCAAACAATATATTTATTTTACTTGCATAAACGGGGGAAAAAAAGATGATAAACAGCCTGAATCTTCTTTTCATGCTGCAACAGTTCATCCTTAGGTGGCAGCATTTTGTGAAATGTGTTCATCTTTCCTTTTTTAAATTTAGAGGCCTATTTGGTCTATGAACTTTTAATACAACATGTTATTTTAATTTCAGAATTATTGTGTGTGTGTGTGCGTGTGCAAGCAAGTTTATAAACAAAAAACAGGCAGAGTGGGAAGGAAATACTTTGCCTGTAACTGTAGGAAAAACTAAATATTTTACAGAAGTAATTTGAGACAAATCCAACTAATAGATGGATAATCAGAAAAACAGAGCAACATTTTTTTCCATGAAAAATTCTCATAATTCTGAGATAATTAAGTCATTAATTCAGAAAAACAGCAAAAACTTTTTTCCATGAAAAATGATCTCGTAATTCTGAGATAATTAACTCGTCAATTCAGAAAAACAGAGCAAAAATTTTTTCCATGAAAAATGATCTCGTAATTCTGAGATAATTAACTCGTTAATTCAGAAAAACAGAGGAAAAACTTTTTCCATGAAAAATGATCTCGTAATTCTGAGATAATTAACTCGTTAATTCAGAAAAACAGAGCAATTTTTTTTCCATGAAAAATGATCTCGTAATTCTGAGATAATTAACTTGATAATTCAGAAAAACAGAGCAAATTTTTTTCCATGAAAAATTATCTCGTAATTCTGAGATAATTAACTTGATAATTCAGAAAAACAGAGCAAATTTTTTATTTTTCATGAAAAACGATCTCGTAATTCTGAGATAATTAACTCATTAATTCAGAAAAACAAGTGAATGCAATAACAAGTGAATGCAATACGCTTCCGTACAATGCGGACGTGGACAATTCTGAATCGATTCACAAATGTCCAAAAATCGATTTTCAAAAAAAAAAAATAATAATAATAAAGACGGAACACTAAAGCACGGAAGTGTAGACGACGGTACGTCTGTGGCGCACATATAACCATACGCTGATTTCAAGCAACCGCCATTTTGAAATCGAAAGCGAGGCTCCAGTGGGAAGAACCCCAGAAGTACAGATGTCTTGGACTATCAACCTGAAGCTGCTGCCGCGATTTATATTATTGGATGTTAATATCACTATAGGATATGTATATAGTTCGTTCCTGCTTCTTTTTTTATGTTCTGAATTATATATAAAAAATATATACATTTCTAAATGAATTTCACTGTATATTGTCTAAAGTATGAAATAAATGTATGTACATTTTTAGAATAACTAATTTCCTCATTAAACATAACAATACGCCATTCGCGACTCTCCTTTGATTAAAGGCGACACTTCTAGTTTTCTTGCCACCGAAGCCATTTTAAAAAGGCATCTGCATTAAATCAGAATATAGACATGCCTTTATGCCTCCACGTAGGGACGAGACCGCCTATGCCAAGTTTTCAAATACAATCGAGTCCGAGTCAAGACCGAGTCTTCGAGGAAGCAAGTCCGAGTCGAGATTTTGTCCCGACATATCAGTTTTGATATTCATAATTTACTGTAATATCACCAGTTAATAATCAACAGTTAGGCCTACAGACTTGGGAATTGTTTAGAGCAGTCATCTTAACGTCTTAAAGGGATAGTTAACTTTTAAATTAATTTTTGGTATGTTTTAACTTACAAGGGCACCCAAGATGTAGGTGTCTTTGGCAGACTCGCTGCTCATCTTGCCACTGCTCACATAAGGCAGCAACTGAAGATACTGATGGCTTTGACGGCAGTAGGCTATCTTTGCATTGCACCATGGGATGTCATTTCCAAATAATGCCCGTCAACATTGCATTTCATTATTATTGTTGTTATGTGTTGTGTGTTTTTTTTATTTGAACATAAAAAAAATGCACTGGAAAAAAAAAATCTTGAGGAAAATTACGAGTCCTTCTCCTCCCACTGTGGTCCGAGACCGAGTCTTTGAAGGAACAAGTCGAGACGAGTCCGAGAAAGCAGAAATCGGTCTCGAGTCTGAGACCAGACTTGAGTACTACATCACTACCTCCACGTCCCCCCGATTGCCTGTGAGCTTCTCCTCCTGTCTATACGGTCATTTCTCTACTGTGTGACGGAGAGTCGATTCGTTATGACACAAGCAAAAACTGCTTCTATGGGGCCATAAGAGACAAGATAATGGAGCCTTTTTATACATTGTCATGTTTCTTTAGAAATAAATAATGGACAAATGAAGTCTTTGGACGCCTCAGATGTAAAGTTATTCGCTGTCAAAGTGACGCCAAAATGAATGGGAGTCAATGGAATGCTAACAGCAGGTGAAGATCTGCTACAATGGCGGCTCCCGCGAGGCTTCAACTTCCGACTGGTGGATTACCCCCTTGCACATAACAGAGACGCGATGGCTGAGCGCGAAATCCAAACACCCAAGCTGAAGTTTGGAAATATTTTGGCTTCTATGAAGTTGAAGGGGGGAAAGAAGCTGGACAAGAGCCAAACTATTTGTAAGCTTTGTAGAATAAAACTAAAATAAGTATGCTGCTAGTTCAGGCACACATTTATGTTCTTTGCAATGTTAATACAATATATTGTACGTTCATTGTTTATGGGTCATTACTTTGTACTTTGTACTAAAGCAAAGTATTTATAGTCACGCAAAAAAAAAAAAAAAATCAGATAATCGCTAACTGCTTTAGCATAATCGCTGCCCTCTGAATACCGGTAATCGAATCGTGAGGTGCCTAGACTCCCACCCCAGTTACCTGTCAAGCAAACTCTCTATTGTGCTCTTGGCTTCCGTTTTCGCATATAAACACGACTGCCCTGAAATGATTGACAGACAGTCAATTTTGTTTTAATTTTACTGTATTTTGTGGCAGAAACAAGCTTCCATACCACTTTCTCAGGTGATGCGGAAAGCACAATCTCTTAATTAATTGTATTTTTTATTAAAACAAATTAACCATTGACATCTAAAACTAAAACTCAAAGTATGGTCACTAACCATTACAATAACTCGTTACAACCGAGGTATGCAGCAAAGCATTTGTAAATCCACAACACGCACAACCTTGAGGCGGATGGGCTACAACAGCAGAAGACCACACCGGGTACAACTCATCTCCACTACTAATAGGAACAATTTGCAAGAGCTCACCAAAATTAGACAGTTGAAGACTGGAAAAATCTCGTCTGGTCTGATGAGTCTCGATTTCTGTTCAGGCATTCAGATGGTAGAATTTGGCGTAAACAGAACGAGAACATGGATCATGGACAACATGGAATGACATGAAATGATCATGGATCCATCATGTCTTGCTTCCATTGTGCATGTCCATCCCTTTATGGGCACCATCCTCTGATGTCTACTTCCAGATGGATAGTGCACTATGTCACAAAGCTTGAATCATTTCAAATTGGTTTCTTGAACATGACAATGAGTTCACTGTACTAAAATGGCACACAACTCTCTCTCACACACACAACAAGCTTTTCAGAAGCGTGTGTGTCTGGCTTTAAAAGTCACTAGTCATTATTAGCATGCAAGTAGCCTACTCTATCTTTTGTAACCCTCTGGGCTTCTTCGTCCGAAAATGACGAAGAAGCCCAAAACGTTTTCTTTTACGTTTTGAATTGTTTTTTGGGCTTTTTTTCAGACTGTCTGTCTGTCATTTCAGGGCAGTTGTGTTCATATGCGAAATCGGAAGCCAAGAGCGCAATAGAAGTTATAAAATTATTATCTGTCGAGCACCATAAACATACCCAAATGTCTTAAAATAAATAAGAAAACACACAAAAACATGCTTTTTTCTCATTTTTCTTCTTTAGTGCTGATCATTGATTCAAGTAACTTTTTTGAAAATTAAGGAGATGATTCTGATATGTTAAAGGGTCGTAAAAAAAAAAAAAAAAATAGTCACACTTAGCTTTCTCCCGGTCAGAAATGACGACATGGAAAATGAATGGGAAATGCGAAAAAATAGGAAAACTCAGAGAAACTTTTGGTGGTACAGCCACTGTGCAGAAAAAAAGTGTACAGAATATGCAAAATTAAATCAATAAATGAAAAAAAAATCTCGCACAAATGCACACACGGACACACACACACACACACACACTGAGAGAGAGAGAGAGAGAGAGAGAGAGAGAAAGAGAGAGAGAGAGAGAGAGAGAGAGAGAGAGAGAGAGAGAGAGAGAGAGAGAGAGAGAGAGAGAGAGAGAGTAACTGGTAAGACTGCAACAAAAAATTGTAGAATATGTAAAATAAAATCAATAAATGAAAAAAAAAATCACTCTCAAATGCAGTTTCATTGTAATCATAATGCAAATCCTGATATGTAACTAAAAAAGTTGTTGAAAAAAATAAAGTAGTCTTTTAGAATATCTAAATCTATGTCTAAATAAAAAAAAACTGAATAAGATTGAGAAATCATGTCTAAAACAACAAAAGGAATCAAAAAGCCTTTCTATGTATTTATATGAAGCTAATAGACAGCCTACAGGCTGGTACAGGACATTGCACACATATAACTATTTTTTAGAGCCACTAGATTGCGCTCTTCTAGTTGAAAATTTTTAGTAGGCTGGCACTGTATTTTGATGCGAAATGTTGCATATATATATATATTTTTTAAATAAATAAATAAGTATATATATATATATATATATATATATATATATATATATATATATATATATATATATATATATATATATATATATATAGAGTTACCTATAAGTGTTACCCATTTACAAAGAAGCCCAGAGGATTATTGATGTCATTTTTGCTCGTATATCGGGATGTTTTGCAAGTAAATGTATTGATGACGACTTCAGGTCTTATGCGTGATGATTCGAATTTTAGTTGCTATGACGACGCGTGTTGGGTTTTGAAATTGTTTGTTTACATTCAAACATCGCAATCTGTTGCTGCTCGAGAGACGAGGCGAATTCAGAGAGTTTGGCCGAGTATTTTCTGCGCAAGCTGTTTGGAGAATTTCTGCGAAAAAACTGATCAGTGATCATATTCTAGGAGGAGTAGATCGGAGGATCCTTTCCCTTTTTCCCCTCTTTTCTTTACATTTATCGTATTTTTTTGGAGGCTTCAATCTAATTGTTATTATCTGGGAGTTAAACTAGGAGTTTGTTGTTTTATTTAATTTTGTATTTATTTTTTGTTGTTTTTGTTTTATTTTTTTAAAACATTTTTATTTATTTATTTGATTTGTAGTATTTCTGAGGGGGGTTGTACTGTGTTATTTTTTTTTTTTTGTATTGTATTTTGTAATTAACTTCTTGTTTCTATTGCAGGTTAAGAGGACGTTGATGGCCAGTGAAAGACGAGGTGAGTGCTCTACTTTTCATTTGTTGATGGTATGTTATGGTATGAATGATGATGATGATGGACTAAATTAAAGGTTCTCTGAGCGATCCTGGGTGTTGACTTTCGGAATATTTTCAAACAAATCGGAGGCTAGACCCTCCCTCCTCCGCATCTCATCTCCTCCCCCTCCCTTCCGTGCATTTCTAGCTAATTATATCCTTGTGTGGGTTTGGCGAACATAAGCGTTAATTTAGAAGAAAAAAAAACAATTTAACGTTACCCACCTGTCCAGCAAAAACAGAGCAACCTGAATGTCGGACTGAAGCCCTTCTGCCGCCGGAGTTCTCGCCATCGTTCAAAAGCTTTGCTAACGATGTAAATTCGGAACTTCGCACGATCTTTATCCGACTCCTTCTTCTTTTTAATTTGTTCCTCAGAACGACGTCTCTTTGGTCGTGTTTCGGCCATTTTTCAAACTTCCCTCTTATGCTTCGCTCTCCTTCACAAACACACCCCCTTCATGTGCACGCGCACTAACCCCCCAGACCCACCCTCAAATACTTCTTGCCAGTGATTGGCTGGAACACTGTTTGTTAGGTTTCGTGGTCCGGGTGAGACATGATTGTTTTTGTTGCCGTTTGTGGAGCCTGTGGTGTCTACTGTAGAGACCGCATTTTTTTACAGTGTGTTTAGGGGACAGGCAGCTAGTCGATAGTGAGGAGACATTTGATGTATGTGACAAAAAATGTTTTGGCCCCACATCGCTTAGAGAACCTTTAATGTGCAGAAACTTGTGCGAGATAACTTATTTGATCCGCCAAATTTCACTGCTAAATGATCACGTGTATTTGATTCCTTGTTGCACGTAAATACCTTTCAATTTTGAGTAACTATACAGTAGCAATTTGTAACTGACTGCTGACATTGAACATTGATTATTATCAAAACATTACTAACTATGTGATGTCTGAAATATTCCAGCCTCAGGTCCCTCCAGATCCAGGAGAGCTGCTTCCACTCAGATGGCTGATCTGGAGGTTTGGAGACCCAGTTCTGACAGTTTAGCTCCTCTGTCTTCTGAGTTTACTGGTTCTGTGTTAACAGGTCAGGATCACTGGAAGAGGCAGAGCGGCAGCCAGCAGAGCCCAGATGGTGGATGTGCGTCCACTTCTATTATAACAATATACTTATAACAAGTGACCACTGACATTGATTATTTATATTATTTAAAAAACAACAACTGTTTTTGATGTTTGAAATATTCCAGTGTCAGGCCGCTCCAGACCCAGTCGGAGAGTTGGAAAGTTGAGTCTTAGCAGCAGCGGGTCGTACATCGTTGAGTGGAGGTGGAGTGGCCACGGATCGGACGGCCCAAGTGAGCAGGACAGTTGTGGCCACTGGAGTTCGTCCATGTCCGACAGCCTCCAGGAGATGATGTGTTCTCCGCTGCCAGGTCAGGTTCCTGTGGAGCCAAAAGTGGCTTCCATTGGCCTGCCAGCTCAGGGTGCCGTGGAGGCGTCTCCTGCGAACAAGAGCTCAGCAGGTGAGATTGAAATAGGAGTGAGGGGTGTAAAGTGTACTGATTTTGCTATTTCATGCATAAGACTGCTTCAAGTTTTTAACAGGTTAATCTCTAGTCATATTTACCGTTGCTCAGCATAATTTAGCTAAAATGTTCTTTTTGTAAAAAAAAAAAAAATAAATAAAATTTCATAATGTTTGCAAAATTATAAAACAGAATGTTCCCTCAACATTTGCATTTGCAAGAATTTTTTTTTTTTTAATACTCAATACTAAATATTGTGAAATAAGACTTTGGGACATTTATGCAGGCATTAAGCAGAAGCAAGGCCGTCATATAATATTTGCATTACTTGGATTTGTAACATTACAGATAAAAATCGAACAGTGACGTGTGTAATTTTGTCATTGTTTAATTTGTGGTCAGGGATGTTTCTAATAGTTGTCTTTTCAATTGTTTTTCTACATTTCAGCAAAACCTACAAAATATAGGGAGAAGAAAGGACTTTGTGGTTTCCTCAGGAGCGTGTGGAAGGCTCTGAAACGTCATTTCGGCTGCGGTTGTCACTGTAGTGCCATGACTGTTGTGGAGCCTTTCGTCCCTCCACCAGATCTGGACCCAGAGCCTGACCCAGATCACTCAGCCGTCAAGCACAATAATGGTAAATTCACAGTCATTATTTCTAGATCATGATGATTTTAAACAGTATTGTCGTCTTGTTTTCCTCTAAAAATATCTCATCCCCATATTAATGTCATAAAAGGTAACTACAGGGGTTAAGATTAGGTTTAGGTGAAGGTGCGTACCTAGTTATTACCCAGTTATTGTAATAACTTTAATAAGTACATGGGGAACAGGACTGTGAAATAAAGTGCTACCGGTAACACTTTATTTTAAGGTGACGTAGTTAAACGTTAGTACATCATCTACTTACTATAGTAACAACAGTAAATGATGCATTCTTAGTAACTAATCCTAACCTTAACTCTATAGTCAGTTAATATTACCCTGTTCTTATCTGAGTCAGTAAAATGTGAGTATGTCACCTTCAAATAAAGTGTAACCTTTTATTAATATTTTCAAAGGATCTTGCAAGATTATGTATTTATAATATTGTTTCTGTTTTTCAGAGTCCTTCGCTTCTCTCTTCAAGGTAGGAAAGATGATTGGTTGCGGGGGATTTGGCAGGGTGTACGAGGGGATACGGAGATTTGATGGCAAAAAGGTAAATATTACCGAACTGTACAAACATTTTTGCAAAACAATTTACAGATGGTTTGATACCTAGAGCAAAGGTGCCTGCCTGAATACTGTTACTGTTAATGAAACATTTTTTGTTTGTTTTTTTGCAGGTTGCCATCAAGCAGATCAGCAAGATTGACAACAATCGTTATCTTGCTATAGTAAGTTGTTGAATGTGTATTTAGTTGTTTAAGTGCTGATTACTGTAGTCAATACACCTGTAGGAAGCATTCGCTGTACATGTTACAGACAAATAAACCTAGAAGCACCAAATAACTTTAAGCTGAAAAGGCTCTGTATCTACATAAAAAATGATATTTGTACCCAGCTAATCTTCTCTCTGCTACTTTTCTCTAGCCTGGGCATCCCGAACCTCTCGTAACAGAAGTGGCGCTGCTTCTAATGATGAGGCAAGAACCCAGAAGCCCCTACGTCATACAGCTGCACGAGTGGTTTGAACACCCTCGAAAATTCACTCTCGTCATGGAGTACCCCGAACCTTGCGAGAGCTTGCTGGCCTTTATCAACCGTAACCCTGAACTGGATGAACCTACGACACGGGTCATCATTAGACAGGCTGTGCTGGCAGTACAACACTGCATCGAACGTGGCGTTTTTCACAACGACGTTCATGCCGGAAACTTCCTGATAAAGAAAAACACACTAGAGCTCAAGCTGATTGACTTTGGCTGCGGTCAGCTTCTTAGTAGCGACGGCTACGAGAGCGGAGTGTACCTTGGTGAGCATTTTGGCAGTGTGGAAACCTGAATGTAGTGACCTGATTATTTGACATTTTGGAAAAACAAAAAAGCTCAACAACTCGTAAATGTCTTTCTTACAGGAATACATACCTACCGCCCACCTGAAGTCTTCACTGACACGAGATTCCACGCCGTCCCAACTAATGTCTGGGCTCTAGGAGTGTTGTTATACGAGATGACAAACGATTATCCTCCTTTTGACAATAAAATGGAAATCATACGAGGCAAAGTTATATTTGTGAACTCCAACTTATCCAAAGGTGAGTGAATAATATTGAAATCTTTGATAAGCACACACATAAAGCAAAGGCTCTGTAAGAAACAGTTAAAGGTGAAGTACTCTATGTAAGATTTCTTTGCCTTTGTGATGTTTGAGTTGGAAGAAGGCGTGAAGCATGCAAGGTCTTTTGAAAATATGCTCCTTTTGATGCAGAAACTGCATACTTCACCTTTATAGTAAAGATAAAGAACATGTTACCTTACATTAATCATGTTTAGATGCCAAGTCACATGCTCATCATGACTAACCAGCTCTTCTTATTAATATTGGTACAGAATGCCGTGATCTGATTAGCAAGTGCCTTACAAAGGATCCAGCTAAACGGCCGACGTTAAAGCAGATCTTACAGCATCAATGGATTAGAAAATGATCTTCTTGTAGATTGAACAAGTTCAGGAGATTTCAGGTGTGAGGAAGTATAACAGTCAGACAGAGTAGGATTATTATCATTTGTTGTTATCATTTATCTAGTTTCACATTTGTGGAGTGAACAGAGTTTATTTGAATGTTGTTGTCATAGTCTAGTCACCTTCTTTCATTAGCGCTTTATACAGTACATATTGTTTCATCCAGCTTCATGATATTAAACAGGAAAATAATGCAAACAGAATTCAATTGTGCTGTAAAAACTTTTATGTGTTGACATGTTCTTATAATGTTTGTATTGGATAGGAAATGACAAACTTGCTGTCCTTGGTGGAGGGCTTGAGCTCGTGACGTGACCCGAAGCTCGAAATCCAACTCGCCAGGGAACTCACGCCGCCACACCAGAGAGCTCAGAGCCTGGCAACACGAGGGATCTTGCGGACAGTACTTCAATCAAGGAAAATTTGGGATGAGCGGAGTGGAGCGGTGAGCGCTCACGGAACTGTTCACCCCTCCGCTCCGCAGCTCAAAGCCACACCAGGCCGCAAATGTTTCATTTCAAATTACAAATTAGGACTAGCCTACGTAAGAACAGGAATGTAGCCTACACAAAAAGTCCTGTAAAATTAAATGAATAAATGGGCCTAATAATATGAATAAAAATTATATGAAACAAAAATATACGTAAATAAAAGTAATAAAAGTAAATTAACTATAGGCCAGAATTTTGATAGCTGAACTTTTGCTCAACGCACACGATAAAAATTTAAATTGGCTTAAACTGCTGTAAAATTAAATGAATAAATGGCTGTAATAATATAACCAAAAATGATATACACAAAAATGTATAAAAAAAAAATACATACATAAATGTTTAAAAGTAATTAATTATTAGGTCAGAGTTTGATAAGCCTAACTGAACTTTAGCGTAGCGCACACTGTTAAAATTTAAATTGGCTTATAGGCCTATATCAATTGTACACAAAAAAGCTGTAAAATTAAATGAATCAATGGGCCTAATTATATAAATGTTATATAAGTGTTAAATTATATTAAAGTAAATGAACTATTAGGCCACCAGACTTATATCTAACTGAACTTTTGCGCGGAGAGCACGTGGATAACAATTTAAATTGGCTCAAACTTCACAGTCTGAATGTAATCTGAAGATAACATATTGCGTATGTACCTAAAAAAAGATATCACAGTTTCTGGATAATTTAAAAAATAATAATAAATAAATAAATAAATAAAGTTGTCCTCCGAAGAGGGGGGGTGGAGGTGGGAGAATAAAAAAAATAATAATAAAATAAATAAAATAAAATTTGCTCAAACTTAAAAGTTATAACATATTGTGTATGTACCTAAAAAAAGATTTCACAGTTTCTGTATAATGTAAAAAAAATAAAAAATTAATAAATAAATAAATAAATAAAGTTGTCCTTTAATAAAGTTGTCACGGGTGGAGGTGGGAGAATAAAAAAAATTAAAATTAAATAAATAAAATTAAAATTGGCTCAAACTTAAAAGTTATAACATATTGTGTATGGACCTTAAAAAAGATATCACAGTTTCTGTATAATTTCATTAATAATAATAATATTAATTAAATAAATAAATAAATAAATAAAGTTGTCCTCCGAAGAGGGAGGGGGGGTGGAGGTGGGAGAATAAAAAAAAATTAAAATAAAATAAATAAAATAAAAATTGGCTCAAACTTAAAAGTTATAACATATTGTGTATGTACCTAAAAAAAGATATCACAGTTTCTGTATAATTTCATTAATAATAATAATATTAATTAAATAAATAAATGAATAAATAAAGTTGTCCTCCGAAGAGGGGGGGTGGAGGTGGGAGAATAAAAATAAATAAATAAAATAAAAATTGGCTAAAACTTAAAAGTTATAACATATTGTGTATGTACCTAAAAAAAGATATCACAGTTTCTGTATAATTTAAAAAATAAATAAATAAAGTTGTCCTCCGAAGAGGGGGGGTGGAGGTGGGAGAATAAAAAAATAATAATATAATAAAATAAAAATTGGCTCAAACTTAAAAGTTATAACATATTGTGTATGTACCTAAAAAAAGTCACAGTTCACAGTATCACAGTTTCTGTATAATTTAATTCATAATAATAATATTAATTAAATAAATAAATAAATAATAAATAAATAAATAAAGTTGTCCTCCGAAGAGGGGGGGGGGGGGAGGTGGAGGTGGGAGAATAAAAAAAATAATAATGAAATAAATAAAATAAAATAAAATTAGCTCAAACTTAAAAGTTATAACATATTGTGTATGTACCTAAAAAAAGATTTCACAGTTTCTGTATAATGTAAAAAAAAATAAAAAATTAATAAATACATAAATAAATAAATAAAGTTGTCTTTTAATAAAGTTGTCACGGGTGGAGGTGGAAGAATAAAAAAAATTAAAATAAAATAAATAAAATTAAAATTGGCTCAAACTTAAAAGTTATAACATATTGTGTATGTACCTAAAAAAAGATATCACAGTTTCTGTATAATTTCATTAATAATAATAATAATAATAAATAAATAAATAAATAAAGTTGTCCTCCGAAGAGGGGGGGTGGAGGTGGGAGAATAAAAAAAATTAAAATAAAATAAAAATTGGCTCAAACTTAAAAGTTATAACATATTGTGTATGTACCTAAAAAAAGATATCACAGTTTCTGTATAATTTAAAAAATAAATAAATAAATAAATAAATAAAGTTGTCCTCCGAAGAGGGGGGGTGGAGGTGGGAGAATAAAAAAATAATAATATAATAAAATAAAATAAAAATTGGCTCAAACTTAAAAGTTATAACATATTGTGTATGTCTATGTACCTAAAAAAAGTCACAGTTCACAGTATCACAGTTTCTGTATAATTTAATTCATAATAATAATATTAATTAAATAAATAAATAAATAATAAATAAATAAAGTTGTCTTCCGAAGAGGGGGGGTGGAGGTGGGAGAATAAAAAAAAAAATGGCTCAAACTTAAAAGTTATAACCCCGCTCGCTCCTATCTGCTCACATACTCTGGATCCTAAAGTTAAGCCAAAGGGTGTACAAACACACTGTTACAAATGTATTAAAATCTAGATTTCCCATACCAAAGAAGTGTAGTAGTGTGAATTATTTTAACTAAGGTAAATGTCACAAACCTGTCCTGATCTTTGTATTGCAAGTTAAATTGATACCATCACCTTGTGTTTATAAGTTCAAACTCCAATGTAAAGTTCCCTTAGTTAGACTTGACTTGATGAGGACTGCAGCTACCAACAGCTCGTGTTTCTCAATAAAGAATCTTGCTGAAGAGACAACCAAGTCTCCTGGTCTTCGCTTCTGAGTTGCTACACTTTAGAAGAGAAAGTTCACAACAACACAAAAGTTAGCATTTTAGTACTTCTGGTTCCCTCGCTCGTCTAAAGTATCTGGGTTTTTTGAATGGGTTTATGCTACGTAAATCGCCTGAAATAAGATCTGTGGTTAATAAAGCCTCTAAATATTTTCATGTTTTAATCTATGACATAAAACACACCAGTTATAACCTGCTTGTGTTTTTTCAACTTTATTGTGTCTGCTTGTGTTTTTTAAACTGTATAGGCTTCAAAATGTATAAATTTTGATCTTATTTTTTGAAATTTTCTTTAAAGTCAGAAGTCTATGTGGAAAATGCATAGGTTTCCGATCGAGGGAACCCATGCGCTGCTAGCTTCCGAGTTGTCCTACAAAGTGACATCATAACTTTGGCACTCTATTGAGGGCCATGAGTCGACACCAAACGTGTCACATGAAACATCCTTTCCCGCATGTTGCGAGGAGGATCAACTGGAAGGGCATGAAAGGGAAAAAAAAAATCATTCAACCAGATGGAGTCTAAAAAGTTACTCCTGTGTAAGTACATGTATTATGTATATTGTTTGTCTAAAAAATATAAGCTACAAAAAGTCAAACTTTTTCCTTAAAGGTACACTATGCAACTTTTTGTTTAAAATCATAAATGTAAAGAGCAAGTACATCATGAATCCATCTTCCAAAGTGTGTTTTTGCCTTATCCAAAATCACTACAATACACCTATAATAAGTGTTTACATTCTGACTATTTTAGACAGCGCGGGATTCGAACCACTGTATAGGGATTATGCCGAGTGCCCAGCATTCAAACCGGAAAACGGGTATAAGCATTTCCGGTTTGCAGTGGTTAGGTTTATCTCTGTGGTAACTTAAAGGATTAGTTCAACTCAAAATGAACATTTCCATTTCCTTAAAATAACTTTTAATAAGGATTATTACATTCTGTAACAAAATTGTTCATTGAAGTTAATGCATCAACTAATATTAATTAATGGGACCTCATTGTAAAGTGGTAGCGAAACAACTAATGCAATATCTTACATTTGCTGCTTACATATCTAAACAGAAAATAGTTACATAATATTACTGTTTATTTGTTTAATAATGTATCCATTATATAATACAATTTAATTACATATATGTGATAAATGTATGTTAAATTAATACATGTTGCATTTACAGGTATGTAAGCAAATTGGCACAATTGCATATGAAGAGTTCAGATGCAAAAGCCTCTAAGTGCCATTTGAAATTTTCTTCTAGCATGATAATTTTTATCAAGCTTGTATATTTAAGTTCAGTGATTTCACTTAAATGGCAATGATAATTACCTATTAATTGTTATTTAAGTGAAATTACTGAACTTAAATATACAAGTTTGATAAAAATCATCATTAAAGAAGAAAATTTCAAATGGCATTTAGAGGCTTTTGCATCTGAACTCTTCATATAGTGTTATTCTGCCACAGTACTGAAAAAAAAACAGAATCTTAAAAAAAAAACAGATTGATAACCTCAGTGAGAGCTAGGCAGCTGACACCTTTCAAATAACTTAAATATTTTAATAGATATGCTTTGCTATCTTTTGGCACTTAATAACTAAGGCCTAGACATTCTACAATGTCTAAATATCCAAATTTTTCTATGCACACAAATGGGCTGTGTGACCAATAAATAGACTATAATGACAATAAAAATATTTTTGTATAATTACTGGATCTAAATAAAGTTAAAGGAGAGGCATAATTGTGCAGAATCAAAACCAATGATTCTTGATTAAGATATTGTTAAATTTCACACATTTAACACTGGAGACAAGGGAAGGGGTTTGAAACTGAGAAACATATAATAGAGTGAATATAAATAGTACACTCGTTCCATCGAGCACATCAAAATTTCAGTTACAATAGTGCTCAACAAAACATTTAAAAAAATCTACAAAAATGTCTGCACACTTCTGAAGCAAGTGAAAAACACGCCTGGATTTGAACTGGACTATTGCCACCAGACTGGTGGCTTTCGATCATTGTGTTTCTAAGCAGATTAGACACAACCACATGCATTTTTCTTAAACTATTTTAAGTATTTTAAAAGCTTGCCAATGATTTTGACCTTCTGTGTCTCTGTACCTGAGTAATTTAGAGTCTTGGACTGTAAACTCACAATGTGCTGAATTATGCTTAGAATTTACTAACACTCTTAAATACAAAGATGTTTTGCAGTGATTACATAAAAACACAATATGAGTGGGGATAATATGAAATAGAAATGCCTATTTTTTTTTTTTTTTTAAAGGAGAGATGACTTTCAGCATCAGTATAAAAGAAGCTGAGCATTTCAAAAAACTTACTTGCTTGTAATTTTGAAGTATTTTAGAAAAAAATATATAATATAATCTTCATATGTACAGTATCTTGTCCATATACTTGTGAATGATTACCTGTCCTGTCCTTGAGAATCCAATTAATTAAGATTAGTCTTATCAGTGTGTGGTATATGACTGATAATACAGATACTCAGGACAGAGTGAACGTTGCCATAGTGAACAGGAAACATAAGCTGTTACATGATAATTCTGAGAATCTCGTTGTATAAATTGAACTTATCTGTCGTCGGCTGATGAATAAATGAACATATCAGGTGATATATAACTATTTTTAGAGACAAATCACCTTTTAACGCTTTATTGAATCCAGATTAGCTTCACAGTGATAATAGTGATCAATGATACAAAACTTCATTAAATATTAAAATCAAATGTTGCTGTAAATCAGCTCTAAAATCCAGTTGAGTTAAAATAAAACGAATGTTCAATTCAACTGAGCAGCTCTACAGAAAACAAAAGAGTAGCTAGCCTATTTGAGTCAGTTCAGTGATGATTCAGTTCAGATTAAAGATGAATTTCTCGCATGAATTTATGAATGTCAAACCACCAGAATTTAATATAACAACCAGTAAAAATCCTAATTATGTCAAACTTGAGATTTATTAGTAGTAGAACTATATCAAGATATGGGGAAATATTTGAATGGTAAAAATCTTGTAAATATTGAATGACAGGGTATTACCAAGCAAAAGGGGATCTGAGAAAGTAAAAGTGAATTTGAATCACATTTCAGTCCAGTCATCCCAGTTAAATGCAACCAATGAGAGGGGGTTTCCATTTGTTATGCTAAGGGCCACTTGTTTAGATCTTTACATCCTGCCATCAGAAAGCAGAGTTCTTCAGCACACCATGCTGGACATTGAAGACTAGGCACAATAACTTTATTATTTTAGGTGTGGAGCCACAATGATTATAGTCTCTCGAAGGGTGTGTGAGAATGTTGTTTTCTTTAGTGTCATTGTTTGCTCTTTAGTCTGAGTCTTATATTGTGTTTTTACTGTAAAAGTTGTAAAACGGTTGTAAAAACACCATAAAAATCAGTTTTGGTTTACGCACTATATTTCTAACAATGGTAACACTTTATTTTAATAGTCTATTTTATACATTCTACTAACTTTAAGTAACTTTACAACAACACGTCAACTAGCAATATTATTAGACTGTCTGATAATATGCTTACACTTTATTGTGATGCTCCACAACAGGCATTCTGACTAAGTAACTTTGCAAGTAAATGTCAACTTATTACCCCAACCTAACAGTTTGCTAATAGTCTAATGAGAGTTAGTTGACATGTAGTTGCAAAGTTACTAGTTAGAATGTCATCGGAAAATAGTGTAACCCTAAAGACTTGAAACTTTCAGCAAAACAAGTAATGCATCCCCATGCACTTATTTAATATACTCAGATTTAGTTTAAGCAAACTGGTTTAATGCATTTTATTTTAGCTCAAGCTTAATTAGAAAAAAAGTCCCCTCTTCCAACATGCATTGGGGCATAGATAATTAATACATTGTTATTTTACATTGTTGTTAATTACATTGCTCTTGTCACACTTGTCTTGTGACATGAGTATTTTTTTTCTTCCCTTTGGACAAGGCTAAATGTAATAAGTTAAAGCAAATTTTTAAAAGTAAATTGCCATGCAAACTTTTTTTTTTTGTCTTGTGTATTTCATGCAAGGGGTCAGTTTAAATGTGTATGGATGAAGATTTACACAGATTATAAGCAGTACACTTTTTAAAATGCACATATAGACAGATGGTTATGCACACACAAATTAACTTCTGAATATAGTTTCTTTATGGTGAGACAATATGCTGAACTTTACCCATAATTATTGGCAGGTGATAAACTATCAAGTAACCACATCTGATCTTTTCCCTGCTCATAATCTTTTATCCTTTTATTAATGCTATCCTCTTGGTTAAAATGGTGTCCAAATACATTTACATTTAATTAACTTAATTTTTATTAATTTCATGATTGCAGTGATGCTTTGAAAGGTTTTGCATTTCTTTTTTTTGTACCAGGGGGTGGCAATATTTCATTGATATTGGCTGATTTTGACTTCTAGATTGCTTGTTTGACATAAAAAACATAAAATAGGCCTAACTGTTTGACATAAATTCTTCTTTAATATGACTTCTTCATTTTACATGATACCGTTTCTTTCTTTAACATTTTTCAAAACTCTCAATTATTTCCAGGTCTGAATTATATTTCAAAGCCTAACTTTAAATGCAAATGCACACACATGACTACATATCTCCATGTATTTGGGTACATGGAAACTTCAAAACTTTCCGATGTGCTTATGTTCATTGTCATCATCACACCTACAGTCACGTCATAAACGAAGCAAAAGGATCTTGCACTTGTCACCAACAGCGGGGCCTGTGCCGGGGTGGGACGGCCCGCTACACTGTCATGGTTAACCACTGAGTGGGCTAGACTTACTGTGATGATGTATTTTGACATCAAGACTTATCTAGAAGAGTAACGATTGCGTTAGCCTGCCTGAACCCTCATGTCTGCATCTGACATAACCTTGCTGTCTTGAAACATTTGATGAACAATGGGAGTTCTTGATCACCGGTCTCTTGTATTTCGGGAGAATATGACGTGTTGTCATGCTTGTTGTAAATCCGACAGATCCGATTCTCTGAACTCACGTCTGAACTGTGTCGCAAATAAACATGGCGGCGCCCATCGCGCATAAGCTATTGTGATCATCATCATAAATGTTTTTAAATGTCAAAACACATCCACCTAAACGTATTTAATAATCGGAATATCAGGTAACTTAGTTGATGATATAGCCAACAAGTTTGTGTGAATATTTTGAAGAAAAAAAAGGGGGGAAACGAAATAAAAACAGCACTTGTGGCTGCGGTGTGTCACGTGACCACGTTCTAAAATAACGGTCGCCTTAAAACTCACGCTAAACATTCGTGTGAAAGGGTTATATAATGCCAAATATTCACGTTTTATATATTCCAAAATGGCGTTTGCGTTTCTTTTTGCCTGGTTTTTGATTCTAGGTTCATACCCCAGTGTAAGGTCCTGTCTGCAGTGTGACCCGGTGGTTCGTTATGTGCACGAAGATTTCCTGTCCTCAGTTGAAGGAATCACTGTCCATGATCAGATTGAACTGACGCAAATAATTGAGCAGGCTTACATCAACTATCAGGAGACCAGCACATCATTTCGGGGTGTCATAGGTAACGTTAAGCCTACTGGTGTTATAGTCAATTTCAAGAACGTAAACAATGCTACCAAATACAGTAAAATAACAACAATAAAAAACGCGTTGGAGTGCTACTGCGCATGTCTTGTCCTAATGCAGCATTTCCGATGGCGCCATTTTTAAATCTTAGATATGTGAAAACCACAAACGTAGACCCTTTAAGTCCAGCGAAAAGGCAACAGTTACGGTATTTACAAAAATCGAAAATAAACGATTATTGAAATTACCGGACTCTTTCAATAAGAGTAACGTTATGATGCGTACACTTTTTTACACATAACATTAAACGTTTTCCTGAATAGTCTGACGGCTCATTATTTGCTTGGGTGTACGAGAGATGCGATAAAAGTAAATCTCAGTCTGCATGCATTGCTTACAATTCATTTCTTAGCGGAAAGGTTGGGAACATTTATTTCCTACAACCTGTCTTGTGTTTGGTGTAGATGGAGCAAGTCAAACAGCGTCAAAAACGTATGGGTTGTCTGGGAGGGCACTTGCATTGCTGGCCTGGGTCACTGTATATCTACATACATCATATATTAATACACTTTAGGTCTTTGAAGGTAAAATATGTTATTTAATTGTGTTCAAGTATAGTCAAATTCTAGCTATAATAATGTGTGTGTGTGTGTGTGTGTGTGTATAGTCAACATTTGAAGTGGATCAAAAAAGTTAATTCTAAATCCTAAGACATGAACAGGTATTGTTCAAAATTCATGTATAACTTTGATGAAAGGTTTTGATCCACTTCAAATGTTGGAATTGTCTATATAGGCTAATCAGGAGTAGCGAGGAGATGCTGCTATTCTTGTCTGTGATTTTTTGTTTTTGAATGTAACGTTAGTTGAAATAGCCCATTAGGTTAACACTTCTAATAACTGTGTAGCCTATAGATGCTGAATACTTATTAGGTTTATTGTTACTTTACATGCATATCTGCAAAATTATAAAAAAAACAAAAACAAACATATGATAGTTTTATTTGCTCTTATTCTAGAATTTGAAAAAAAAGTTTAAAAATAATTAAGCTTGTCCAAACTTTTGACTGGTAATAGCTACATACAAAATCTGCCAAATTTCTTGACATTATTTTAAAAATGATGATGTTGAGTGCTATCTGATTTGCTTTAGATCCTACAACACTCTATCGTGCACGGACTGAATATCAAAGTGAATTCAAGAGGCACTGGAAAGAAGACAGGACAGGTGAGAGAAAAGATTAACATTTTCATGTTAGAGTAAAAACATGATAAATGAAGATGCATTACATCTGAAACCATGAACAAAAATCACTGTGTTATTCTTGTGTAGGTTCTGTTCAGTGGGATATGATTACTATAGTGGAGAAAGGAAAGCGAATCCTTCAGAAACATTTGGAGATTTTTGTTACCCAAGGTAAGGATGTATAGGCAATGGGCATACTGTAAATGTTTTTAAATAGCAATGATGTTTCAAAACTAAATTATGTTTATCATTATTATTTTATAAAGGTCTATGCCCAAATAAATGTGGTAAGTACCAATTTGAGATTTCTATCCACCTTATTTTTTAGCGTGGAAGTATAACTATTTTTTGTGAATGTGCGAGACTTCCGGTTCATTATAATTCCTGATATTTATAATCATGTCACTATGATCAAAATGATTTTCCTGAGAGACATAAAATTCAGACAAGTGTGTTCAAATGTTTGACTGGTTGTGTACTGTGTGTGTTACAGGACCCTGAGTATAATGGAGTGTGATGATACATGTACATTATATTGCTCACTGGGTGTGTGTGTGGGTGCGGATGGTTGTTTCTTACAGGGCTGTTGTATCAGAGAGTGATGAACTGCACTTCCTGTCAGTATATGCTCTTTACATGTCTGTCAGCCACTCCGCCTCTGGACTGTGGAGGTGAGACAAACACCCACGGATATACACACCTGAGTGGCTTGTAAGACTATATCAGCACATCTCTTTTGTTTTTCTCTCCTTTTGTTTCTATCAGAGAATCATCTCAAGGCAGATGAAGGAGAGGAGGTGGTGCTGGACTGTTTCCTACCTTGGCACGCTCTTGTCATTGGACAGACCGAGTACCATTACTCCTGGCATCCTGATGGAAAAAATGTACACGCACACACATTTAAATGCATTTGCAGGTTTCAAATAATCTTGAAGCCATTTTGAATAATGTTGCAGACAAGTGAAGGAAATAATAATTTAAAAGAATATGCTTAATTGCAAACTGAATATCATGTTTTTGGACACTCAATTGCATGCTGTTTGCAATTAAATGGAAATGTATTATAGTTTATATTTATAATAAATGCAATTAGTTGACCCACTTAATTCGGACTTGGGTATATAAGTTAATAATTAGTTCTATTGTCTTTGAAATATGGTTAAAGATTTTTGCAGAATGTACTGAAAAGCATTTATGGCAAATAAAATATACTATTTCTATTAAAATATGCCATTTCTATTGAAAATTTTAGGTCAGTTGTTCACAATGTAATGCAGAATTAAAAAAACAATCAATATAAAAAAAAATCTTTCATTTTAACAGAGTACATTGTGAGTGTAATGATTAAGTTGCAATTTAGTATATTTCAAATATATTAACTAAATGAACAACAGACTACAGTTAAAATTATAATCAAGTACTTTACATGTGCTTTAGTATGTTAGTCAACATATCAAAATATAAATGTACTTTATTAAAGCACAACAAAATATTTTTAAAATGGTTTAAAATGTAGGCCTACTTTTAATGTCATAAAATGTGTTTAATGGTATAAGCAAGTAAGGTTTAAAAAATACTTTCAATATTTGAAGTGCACTCCATACAAGTAAGTGTACTTGCAAGTAAGTTTTTCATAAGTGAATGTTGGCTAGTAGCTAGCTAAAAAAAAAAAAAAAAAAAAAAAACTTGACTAAATTTAAGCACAACAGCAGCTCAGCTTTCCAGTTAAACAACTCTTTCTAACAAGTACTAATTATACCATATAATTATAACTTTACAGTAATGTTTAAGAAGGTAATGCCCCTTCAATAGTCATCTAGCAACTAGCTTACTTTAAATGTTTGTCTTTTAGGTTGATATGTTACTGTTTTAGTATGGATCTTTCCAGAGATCCATAAACCAAATACCCATAGTGATTTGAATTATGAATTAAAATGTCCTAAAATGAGTTTGTTTATTAATCATTGAAAGCTGTCACATGATGGGGAGTATGAAGTGCTGGTGGTGACAGAGGAGTCTAAAATTGTACTTAATCAGCTGACAACCAGTGAGGAAGGCATGTACTGCTGCCTCCTACAGGATCAAAAGGGTACTGTGCTGTCCCGCATTTATTTTAAACTGAAAGGTAGGCCGGATTTATCATTTTTGTGTTGAATGTGATAGCTCATTGTAATCTTACAATTTTTTTGTCCTTCCCTCAGTCAACCCACTGCCATCTACAACCCCCAGACTGATTGCGATGTTGCCGTCCCTGCCCTCGGGTTATGACGCCACACCTCGCCCTCATAGGAGCAGTTTCCTCATTATATTGATTTTACTGACTGTACTCAGCATCACAGGCAGCCTTGTCATCATAGTGTACCTCAGGTATGTCATGATTACAACAGGATTAGGTTTGATGCACAGCAGTTTGGGCATATTAAAAAGGGGCTATGTAATATACTTTAAGATAGGGAGGAAGAATGAGTCATTAAATGATTAAGCAATTTTTGATCAGAGCAACACTTCTGAGAGACATTTCATATAAAAAACATTTGCTTCACATAACACACAGATGACCTCACAGATGTTTGTTAAATGTCTTGCTTAGGATATTTTATTGCAGATGTTGCTATTACTGTATATATAGTAGCAGTATTTGACTACAGTATCTGTCAAATTACATTTCATTAAGTGACATTATGTTTACATTAAACTTTCATATTTTGGTTAGATGTAATCAGGCCCACATGGAATCTGCTCCCACGGAAATCAGCAGGTTCCCACAAAATTGGAACGGAACGCATGCTATTGTTTGTTTATAATATTGTGGCCAGTGTTGTTACTGTTAACTAAAGCTAGTTAGTTAGTATAAAGGTATAAATATTAGGGGGAAAACTAATGAAAATGTTGCCGTAGCAACAAGTTGAAGTGTAGGCTACTCAAATTACAAAACCTAAAACTGAAATGTAAATAAAAGATATAAATAACTAAAAAATATACAAATGACAAAATTTCTCCAAAAATGTGTTATATTAAAAATTAAAATATAAAATTAAATGCTAGTTGATGCATTTGCGATGACGTCACGGTTTTCTCCAGAACGGCTATTTATTTAAATTAACTAAATTAATTTACTTTACAACGAAAAGTAACATCACTGAATTTACTTAAGCTGAACTATGATGCTATTTTCTTTTAGAAACAATCTTTGTTGCATTATTTATCATGTAAACCTGCTTTGAAACAATCTGTATTGTAAAAAGCGCTATATAAATAAAGGTGATTTGACCTGACTATATATATATATATCACTAAAATATTAATAATATTGTTATTATGTACTTATTTGAACATGAATAAACATTGCAAAATTCCATAGATTTTTCATCAAATTCCTACAAAATTACCGTAAAAGCTCTTTTTACGATTTCCTCTTTTTACTGCATTAATGTGATCAAAAATACAGAAGAAAACTAATATTGTGAAATATTATTACAATGTATTTTAACTGTTTTCTATTGTAATACATTTTAAAATGTCATTTATTCCTGTTGTTCATGTCTTAACTGTCACTTTTAATCAATTGAATGCATCCTTGCTGAAGAAAAGTTGTTTTTTTCCCAAAACAAACAAACAACAACAACAACAACAAACTACTGACCAAACCTTTGAATGGTAGTGTATATAAAAAAACAACAACTGATAAACGTCTTGCAGATCCTGCAAGGGACATAAATTGAACTGCATTATGGTTGGCACATGCAGGGAGAGACAATAGGGAGGAAAAAGAATTACAGTGGGTGATCTGTCATGGCATCCTGTGATTTTGTTCAGAGAGACAAGATTAGGAAGGAAACACACTATGTTTTCATCCATTCTGTCATGTTGCTTTGTGTCCCTCTGACAGTGTGACCATGAAGCGCCAGAAGGAGGAGAGAGACAGCAGGAGAGGAGGAGAGGGGGAGGATGGAGAGAACATTGAGCTGGTTTCTGTGACAGAATGAGGGATGTGATCCAAAGAGGTACATCAATAAATGACTATACACTCCTAAAAGAGTATGGGTGTGGAGTCTTTTAGATTTTTTCAAAGAAATTAATACTTTAATTCAGCAAGGATTCATTAAATTCATCAAAAGTAACAGTTAAGGCCTTCATAATATTACAAAGTTTTCATATACATTTAAATGTATTTCAAATACATTTAAAATAACTTTCTGTTAATCAAATGTATCACAGTTTTCACAAAAGTGATATGAATTTTATTGCTATATACAATAAAAGTAATGATAACAAGTGGTTCTTTTTAGCAGCCAATTAGCATCTTGAAATGATTTCTGAGGGATCATGTGACACTGAAGACTGGAATAATAATTTCTTTGTCATCAGAGGAATACATTTCCTACAAATATTGTCACCCTTGCTAAATATGAACAAAAGTGTCTTAGAACATTTGTTTTTGCCACTTCATTCAAAAAATATATAAAAAATCTAACCTTTAAAGTAAAATAGTTTTAAATTTTCAAAAAGTCATGTTTTATCATTAAACATTTCAGATTACAATTGTTAACCCGTTTTCCTAAAATGGGAATGAGGCGCTGCATCGAAAGTAACGACGCTATGCCTAGCCAAACTCCATATACTAATCGTCTCCATTCCCCCTGTCTGCTTCCTGATTCAGGCACCCAGGGATGAACACTGCCCTTAGTAACTTCAGCTTGCCCTGGGTCCATAGGAGGATTTGGAAAGGGGGCACCAATTTGCAAAGGGGGTGCAACCGCGGACCCCTCTGATTAGGTGACCTCAGATGTGTTGTCTGTATGAACAAGCACATGATGGCCCCTGAGTTCTGGAGGGAAATGTTTCACAGCTGTGCATAAACAGACGCCCAAAAACTGTAAAGATGAGGGGCCCAAAGTTCTTCCACAACGATGAGAGAGACTGATAGTCATATAGAAATTGATAACTTAAAGTTATTGCGACTAAAGGTGGTTCTACAAGCTATTGAATCATGGGGTGTACTTAAGTTTTTCACACATGGCTTCTCCATTTTGGCCTAGTTTTGGTTAAATAAATAATGACACGGTGTAACTGCCAAATCAGGACGAGTTCCATTGAAAAGGGAACAAAAACATTTTCTGAAATATGTGTTTCACTATTGTTGGCACCCCATACACATTCTAATGCATAAAAATCTAACTGAAGTATATTTCCATTCATATATTTTTTAAGTTTAAGTTTTAAGTGATAAATCATGACTTCCTGTGTCACTGGGTTATAAATATAATGTGACACACAGGCCGAATTTATATAGTCGTCCATCACGAAAGATATGAGAATACAGTAATGATGTATGAAAAGGTTGTTGAGCTACACAAATCATGAAATGGTTAATAGTTTAATATGCTGATTTCACGCAGACGCCATTTTGAAATCGAAAACGAAGCTCCGATGGTAAGAACACCGTAAATACAGACAAACAACAATGCCTTGGAGTACCAACCTGAAGCTGCTGCCGCGATTTACACTATTGGATGTTATATATATATATATATATAAAGATATATTTATATATATTATATATATAAATGAATTTCACTGTATATAGTCTAAAGTATGAAAGAAATGTATGTACATTTTTAGAATAAATAATTTCTATATTAAACACAACAATACGCCACAACAGTGACTCTCCTATGACTAAGCCACCGGAGCCATTTCAAAATGGTGGCTGCGTGAAATCAGCGTATTGATGGAATACTCATTTTCCACTTTATGGGCAATAATTGAGAAGTTTAAATCAACTGGAAATGGTCACAATCTATCTGGAAGAAGACATCTGTCTATATTGGCCCCACATGCACTGAGGAGGATGGTCTGTCAACAAACAAACTGTAAGGATCAAAGTTGTTGGAGAATGACCTCACCTAGTGACCACAACTTTTTTGGCAAGGTTGCAATAGAAAAAGCCTTTGGTGACTTCAAACAACAATCTCACTTATGCCTGACGTTTCTGGAACTGAGACTTGGTTTTAAATAAAGCTTTTTGGAAAAATACCAAGGGTGGTTTTGACATGTACAGCAATGTTGAAAAGTACCTCACCACCGCTGTTAAGTATGGTGGTGGATCTGTAATGCTGTGGGGCTAATTTGAGACACTGGACCACTTGTTAGGACACACAGTATCATAAACTCGTGGTTAAATCTTCCAGCATGACAGTGATCCAAAGCACATCTTAAAATAAATGACAGAACAGTTCACTGACCACAAAATGTAGACCCAAAACCCATTTAAAAAAGTTATTTATTTATTTATTTATTTATTTATTTAATTTTACAATTAGAATTTTTCTTCAACTATTTGACTTTAATTATAGGTTAGATTTTTGATAATATTTTGAATTAAAGGAGTAGTTCACTTTAAAAAAAAAAAAACTTTTACTGATAATTTACTCCCCCCCTTGTCATCCAAGATGTATCCAAGATCCATTAATTAAGAAATTAAGGTTTTTGATGAAAACATTGCAGGATTTTTCTCCATATAATGGACTTTAATGGGAACCAAATGGTTCATGTCCAAAGACATTTTCAATGCAAACTGCAAACTCTTCAAAGGACTTTAAACGATTCCAGACAATGAATAAGGGTCTTATCAAGCGAAACGATCGCTCATTTAAAAAACAAAAACAAAACAAAGTTTAAATTTTATAAGCTCAAATGGTGCACGTTCGTGACTCTCCTGTTCGAATTTGTTCATCAAAATGAAATAATCTTCTTTTTTTTCCGTGTCATTTGGTTCATTAAACAAACGAAATGAACAAGTTGACTAGGGAAAAGATTTGTTCATTTTGATGAACGAGTTTGAACAGGAGAGTCACGAACGCGCATCACAGAACATCACAGTCGCAAGGCGGCCATTTGAGCTTGTAAGACTTAAACTTTGTTATTTATTTATTAAATGAGCGATCGTTTCACTTGATAAGACCCTTATTCATCGTCTGGAATCGTTTAAAGCCCTTTGAACAGTTTGCAGTTTGCACTGAAACTGTCTTTTGGACCTTGAACCGTTTGGTTCCCAATGAAGTGAATAATATGGAGAAAATCTTGCACAGTTTTCATCAAAAACATTAATTTCTTTTCAACTGAAGAAAGAAAGACATGGACATCTTGGATGACATTGGGGTGAGTAAATTATCTTTTTATTATTATTATCTTTATTATTTAAAAAAAAAAGTGAACTACTCCTTTAAGGATAAGGGAGAAATGGCAAAACAAATGTTCACAGTCAGTTTTTTAGAGCCCTGTATTTTAAATTGTAAAGAAAACATTACTCTATATTTCTGTTGTACAATTTAGGTGAGCCCGTACGAACTGTATAGCCAAAGTTTCCTGTTATTAGCTGAAAGGAGTGTGTCTTCTGCTGTTGTAGGCCATATATACCTGTATATATATATATATATATATATATATATATGATTAACATGCATAAATACATATGAAAAGTTGGCTGTTTTAAGGTGCAAAACTTGAAGGAGTACTTCACTTTTAAAAAAAAAACTTTTTGCTGATAATTTACTGACCCTCATGTCATCCAAGATGTCCACATCTTTCTTTCTTCAGTTGAAAAGAAATTAAGGTTTTTGATGAAAACATTTCAGGATTTTTCTCCATATAATGGACTCCAATGGGAACCAAATGGTTCAAGGTCCAAAAGACAGTTTCAGTGCAAACTACAAACTGTTCAAAGGGCTTTTAACGATGCCAGACGATGAATAAGGGTCTTATAGGAAAAACTATTTGTTCATTTTGAGAGTCACGAATGCTCATCACAGAACAGAGCAAGGCGAGCATTTGTGATATAAAACTTAAACTTTTTTTTATTTATTGTTTTAAATGAGTGATCGTTTCGCTAGATAAGACCCTTATTCATCGTCTGGTGTTGTTTAAAGCCCTTTGAAGCTGCACTTAAACTCTCATTTGGACCTTGAACCGTTTGGTTCCCAATGAAGTCCATTATATGGAGAAAATCCTGGAATGTTTTCATCAAAAACCTTAATTTCTTTTCGACTGAAGAAAGAAAGACATGGACATCTTGGATGACATGGGGGTGAGTAAATTATCAGCAGAATTTTTTGTAAAAGTGAACTACTCCTTTAAAGAAGAAAAAAAGAGAAGTAAGCATTCAACTTGTCAAAAGCTCATCCAGAAAATGGTGACATCATGCTTTGACATGAAGTCATGTGACACTCATACTCAGGGACAAGCTCTGAAGGTAGATTTTCATGGGTTATTTATTTTGGGCTTATCTCAGTGGTTAATGCCCATATGCATTATTATCTTTCCACCAGGTGCTGTCATATGTTATTCAGTTACCGACTGAGTTCACATGCACATGTAAATGAAAAGAGATCCATTCACTGGTAGCCTACTTTAAAAAAGGAAGACACGTTTCAGTTGAATGAATGACATGTTTTGGTTGGGCAGACACGTGGGAGGAATGAAAGATAAAGTGGGAGAGCTAAATCTCTTGGATTACAATGTTTTCTAGAATTAATATTCCCCTGCCAACTGGTTAATCCCAGGGATTATCCCCTCTTCTGACCAGAGGAGTGTACGCTGAAAACTCTGAATTGCTTGTTTTCATATGAAGTTCCCCTTTGGCAACCGAGAGACTTTCAGACTTCCTCTTTAGAATGCCTTCTTTACATGATTGATGATGGGACTATTTTTCACTTCTTTAGTTACAATATTGTGGTGTTCGAAATTAATCGGTCGATGGAATTCTCCTATGTACTTTAGAAAATACCATTGGTCGTATAAAGTCAATTTTATTTGTTAATAACACTTTACACAATACACAGTGGCTCTACAGAAAATCATGATGTTAATGTTTATAATATCGTATTATTATCATGTCACTGGGGATTCTGGGGAAAGTCCTTAAGTCATTGGAAATGATCTGTTTTGAAAGTTCTGCTCAGTTGTGATTTTATATGACTGGCTTTGATGCTTTCAGTTATTGTTTATGTAAGTCTTTCTGCATTTTCCTATTGTTTTACTGAGACAAGTGACATCATGGGAGGCAGGAAGTGCTGCAAAATGTAAACACAAGTTGGATAGTCCTCTCAAAACATTTTTTTTTTTATGCTGCGTGCTAACTTCAAGCTTTCTTGAGTGGTTGGTTGTTTTTTCTAGAACAAAATGTGCATAGAGTTGAAACTACGAGTAATATTGATTTTTACCGGATTACTCATCAACTTCCTGTATAAGACAGACGGCATGATTAAACATGGAGGGGCCGGGGTGTCCCTTAAGACATTTGCTATTTGTGATCATATTGTTAGTACATACGAAATGTGGTCCCAGGATCACTATTTTAATTAATTATTTGATATATATATAATATTCAGTATATAAGGGTGTATATATAAGGGTTAATATACACCAATTATTAACCTTTAAACGCATACCTTGGGTTTTTAATGACCAGGGACGTCAATCACTACCCTCCTCCTCATTAGATTTTTAAAGTAAGACATCAACCTTCTTAGTAATCCTCAGTCAATTAATTATAAACAATATAACAAGAAAAAAATATATTTAAAAAAAGTAAAAAAGGTTTCCCATTAATTTTTTTTTTAATTTTATAAGGTCGCTAAAAATAGTTTTTCTGTCAAGTCAAGTCACATTTATTTATATAGCGCTTTTCACAATACAGATTGTATCAAAGCAGCTTCACAGTGATAACATGAAAGTAGTACAACACAGATCAATAATATTGTTAAATATTAAATAACCCCATAAGCAAGCCAAAAGCAAGGCGACAGTGGCAAGGAACCAAAACTCCATCAGATTGGATGGAGAAAAAACCTTGGGAGAACCCAGGCTCAGTCGGGGGCCAGTTCTCCTCTGGCTTACATTCATATTGTTTATATATAAATATTAAATATAAATATTGTTTATGTATAAAACGGCGCCATAACATAGCGCAACAATAATTGAATCTTTAATGACTGAATAAGTGTAATTTACACTTAAATAATATCTAATGATAAAGTGACGTTTCACTCATAGTTACCCCTGACAG